GAGAGAACACCCTCCAAACACCCGTGAGAACACCCTCCAAACACCTGTGAGAAAACACCCTCCAAACACCCGTGAGAGAACACCCTCCAAACACCTGTGAGAGAACACCCTCCAAACACCCGTGAGAGAACACCCTCCAAACACCCGTGAGAGAACACCCTCCAAACACCCGTGAGAGCACACCCTCCAAACACCCGTGAGAGAACACCCTCCAAACAAACACCCGTGAGAACACCCTACAAACACCCGTGAGAGAACACCCTCCAAACACCCATGAGAGAACACCCTCCAAACAAACACCCGTGAGAGAACACCCTCCAAACAAACACCCGTGAGAGAACACCCTCCAAACAAACACCCGTGAGAGAACACCCTCCAAACAAACACCTGTGAGAGAACACCCTACAAACACCCGTGAGAGAACACCCTCCAAACAAACACCCTCCAAACAAACACCCGTGAGAGAACACCCTCCAAACAAACACCTGTGAGAGGACACCCTCCAAACACCCATGAACCGGGAATCGGCCAGCACCCAGGAAAGCTGCACATTTACTTAAAAATGCAACAGTAATTCCTCAAACTGGTTTTCTGGAATCCGGATACATCATGATCACTTACACCTTAATGCTACGGAAGACTCAGACTGTTCCCCAGAGGCCATGAGGGTCACCGGCTGGGAGGAGCCCTTTGAAAATGGATAAAGTAAAGCACACAGTTCACACGCACCGGCTGCTCCATGGGAGAAGGGCCGGCAGCCTCCTCCATGCTCCTTACTGTCTCTGAAAACCTGCCGGAAGGGCAGCTGTGGGTTGGTTCTAACTTGACAGCAAACAACAAGACAGTACAAACACAACAGCTCCTAAACCACACACTTGTTGTTAGGTGTCATCTAGTCGAGTACAACCCACAGCGACCCTGTGAACAATACACCTCATCTGTCCTATCCTGTCTCACCGTCTCTGACACACCAGGGCCCGTTGCGGCAGTTACTGTGTCAATCCACCTGGTTGGGGGGTCTTCCTCTCCTTCACCGACTGTCTGCTTTTGCGAGCATCACGTCCCTCTCCAAGGAACAGCCCTCCTGGTAACAAGCCCAGGGCTGTGAGGTCAAGCTTCATTATCTCCACCTCCAAGGAGCACTCTGGCCGCACCTTCTCCACACACTGAAACTCGCCATAGTTCGGCATGACAGGTCACATTTGATTTCAAGCAAAAACTGTTACTGAATTTTTACTATAGAGGCATGAATGCCAGAGGGACAACGGAGGGAATCATGCCAATGAGGAAAGTCCTAGTCAGCATGTGAGAACATCTCTAAGAGCACGCTCACGTCACACGCTCAAGCTCCTTCCAGTGCACCAGTGAGCACGGACTTGCCAGGAATGACCACGACCCTCCAGTCTCACAACACTGCTTTCCACATGACCAAAGGTGGGAGAGCCAACTCACCGAGTTCTTTTTCCAGAGGCCAAGTGGATACAAGATTTAACAAGGTGGAAGCAGGGATCCAGTAGCTGCTGCAGGTCTGGCGGCTGACCACCATTACACACACACACACACACACTCTCTGCAATGAAGCGAGCCCACAAAGTTCCTGTTGTCCCCGAGCACAGAACAGCTATGCTGCCATGTGTGCAGTGGCATCAGGAAAATAGCGTGAGAATGGCCAAAATGAGACTCCAAGTGAGCACACACTGTGGGAAAAATGGTGCCAGGAGACTCGCGGAAGCAGCGCTGCTTAATGTGCAAACCCTCAGTGCGTAAAATCTGTGCGTTTTAGGGGCACAAAACACAAACTGTGCTGTAAGTCCACGGGGCCCTCGTGATAGTTGCACAAGGAGGGGGGCCTTACCCGCAGTGCCAGCCTAAACTCCAGACGCAGACCGGAAAGGCGGTGGACAGGAGACACAAGGCTTCACAGCATCCAAACTGGAGGAGAGAGGACAAAGTGCCCGGCCGTTAACGGCCGCCCAGTCACCCCCTGCTCAGTCACCCCCCGTCCTTCCCTTATAAAAGGACCAATGCCAACACAAACAGCAGCTAAGCTCTGGGAGTGAGTTCTCCTCTTGGGGTCGTGACTCTCGCCCCATGCCCACCCGTTTCACTGACGGTCTCCCTTCCTCTCTGTCAACGATCCTGCCCTTTCCGGGGACTGGCCTTCCTGAAAACATGTGCACGCTCTGTCAGCCTCCGTCCGACCCTCCCCACATCATCACTGCCCTGCATCTAAGGCAGACTGGTCGCTCTCTGGCCAGTCCATGTTCGCTCACTGTTCTGCAGTCATGTCAAAATGCCCTGACATTGGCTGTGGGTCAGCCCTCCTTGACTAGTGAGCAGCTTTTACAAGCATATACTGCTGTTGTTAAGTGCCTTTGAGATGACCACGGCTCAAAGCGACCCTATGAACCACCCTGCACCATCCTCATGATTTGCAGTATGCTCAAGGTCACCGTTACAGTCGCTCTGTCAATCGTCCCACTGAGGGTCTTCCTCTCTGACTCTCCACTTTGCCCAGCAGGCCTTTCGCCAAGGACTGGTGATGGACCGTCCAGTGTGTAAAACGAATCTCCACCATCCTCTCCTTTAAGGCTCACCAGGGCTGCACCTCCTTCAGCACAGACTCGATCTGCGGTGACGCACGGTTTACTCAACACTCTTTGCCAGCATCACGACTCACACGACGCAGGGCTTCTCTGGTCTTACTGGTTGTCGAACGCTGAGATGCACACAAAGCACTGGAAACCCCACGGCCTGGATGAGGCGCACCTCACTCTTTAAGATAGCACCCTTGCTCTTAGCACTTTAAAGACGTCCTTGACAGCAGCCTCCCGCACTACAGCATGTCTCTGGATTTCTTGACTGCTGTTCTCGTGAGGGTTGACTGTGGATTCTAGACTAAATCACTCACTGCAAACTTTTCTCCATCAAGGAGAATGGTACAATAATGGCCCTGCTAGGATGTATGAGTCTTCCGAGAACCAATGCGTGAAAAGCGCCTGGCTCACAGGGTGCGTCTATATTACCCACCTGTATTATATAGTACGTCTACATAGACGTATCATCTATCTCAGCCTGGAAGACTTGATCAGCTGACGCAGCTCCAGCTTGTCAACCAGCTCACCACCTCTGACTCATCAAGAACTCAATGATCTTCCGTCTCTGACAGACACACCGGAAGGCTGACTGTTAAGTGGAACCCGCTAACTGCAAGGCTGCTGGTTCACAACCAGCGACAGCTCCACGTGGCAGGGCTGACGTCCTGCCGTCAGAAAGGTCAGAGTCAGTTCTAGTCTCACCCGGGTCACCGTGAGTCTGCTGACTCCACGGTGCCTAGCAGCGACCGGCCTCCTCAGCGCTTCCGTCAGCGAAGCCCCATCGCAAGTCCGGAGGTTCCTGAGCCCAGGACTGCACATTCTGGTGTGAGCTCGCTTGGCCCCTGGGCAGCCCTGCAGGGCTCACTGGCCTCACAACTGCTTGGTGGGAGACACCTTCCTGAGAAGCCCCACAATACTGAGACTGCAGTGACGTCTGCACAGCCCTGTGAAAGAGGGGGGGCACACTGACCCCGACTCTGTGGGTGTGGGAGCTGTCCAGCTCTCGGACTATAACACAGTGAAGCTGTGATGACCGACAAATGCTACCTGCAGGTAAGTGGGGCGTCGGGAGCCCTAACGGCATTACCCACCGCTGTCCACTCAGCTCCAACGCAACATGACCCTTAAGGACAGAGGGGCACTGCCTGTGACCGTAATCTTTAGCTTTCCTTTGCAGAGATGCTGTTGGCACTGCAATTCCTGACCACTAAGCCATGGACGCCTTTATGACACAAGGGGTCTCTCAAATCTCAGCTCACTTATTTAAGCCCTTCCACGTTTTAGGAGAGATTGACTTAAAATAATGATTGCCCTTTGTCTCATTAACCTAACTCCCTGGAACCCTGTCTAGTTAGTGTCACTGCTGTTGTCACTGAGTCGAGCACTGACCACTGTGACCCTATGAACAAGAGATCTGAACCGTGTCCTGTCCTGTGCCACCCTGTCTCTGACACATTAGAGCCCACTGCGGCAGTCACCACGTCAATCACTCTGGTTGAGGGTCTTCCTCTCCTCCCCCGCCCCTCCACCTTTCCAAGCATCATGTCCTTCTCCAAGAAACAGCCTCTCCTGACCACATGCCCAAAGCATGTGAGGCGAAGCTTTATTATCATCCTTGCCTCCAAGCAGCACGCCAGCTGCACCCTCTCCAGGACTTGTCTGTCCTGTGGGCAGTCCGTGGACAGCAGCCTAGGGGTGAGGCTGTGCACGGGGATTCTTTCCCATCACAGAGCTCAGCCGCGGTGTTTCATCCTGGTGCACACAGCGTGGCGAGCAGCACGGCTGAGTCACGGAGACGCACGCTCTTGGAGGACACAATGCCACAAGTCTTCAGAAGCAGCTACTCCCAGAAGGAAGCCTGCCAGACTCAGTTACTAACATTAGAGTAGCTTTTCGTCTCGCCTCGGTGCTTCCTGTGCTGGATGACTCCTCCCCTTTCTTTTTGTAACGAACATGTATTACTTCATACCCAGAGAACGCGGTTCTCGACCTACAGGAGCACTGTCCCTCAGGAAGCCACACAGATCAATGCAAGTTCTCACAGAAGGATCTGGCGAGCTGAGCCTCACCAACCCGAGGGTGAACTCTGTAAAGACCAACTCGGGCAGACTTACCGTGAGGGCCCGCGTCGTGGACCTGACGAGCTGGTGCGACACTGCCGCGATGACCCGCGAGAGGTTATTTTCCAGAGTGACGTCTGTTATACTCGGGAGCAAGCTGTAGCCTCTGTATATTCTACAAAGAGAAAGGCAGACACTTCAGAGACACTGTGAGAGCGGACGACATTCTTCAAACCCAAGCAGCACTGACGAGCTCATCCTGAGAGGTGAGGTCTGGAAAACAAAAATCAGGCGAGCTCTGGTGGCCTAGTGGCAAGAAGCTGTACTGCAATCCCAGAAGGATGTGGTTCAAATCCATCAGACGCTCAATCTCCTCCTGTACCAGTCAGATCCTATTTGATGGTACACACACAAATAATAATAAAATAAATTTTAAAAAATCAAAAGGATGACTCTGTAGAAAGCAGAGTTTCCAAGCACATCAGCCAGGATGGTACCTGCAGGCCAGAGGGCGAGCAAGCCACGTCGGGGTGACAACTCCTCAGCCTTCCACACGCGGCCGTGCTGGTCCTGAGAGCGGTACTGAGGACGGGACAGCCACTTAGCAGAGACTTCAAACGTTTCTCACAACAAACACGAATATAACACTTGTGCACCCCTGGACCAGAGTGTGAGCCCTGCTCCACACCACACAAATGTGAGTATAACATGTGCACATCGCTGGACCAGCGGGTCACCCCACACAACACACATGTGAGTGTAACAAGGATACATTCCTGGACCAGCGGGTGAACCCCACTCCACATCACACAAATGTTGAGTAATAACAAGTGCACATCGCTGGACCAGCGGGTCACCCCACACAACACACATGTGAGTGTAACAGGCACGTATACATGTTACACACAGCACACTCATCTCCTGGAGCGACGGGTCCCCCCACCCCACACTGACTCCACACGTGTGGCATCACTCGCATGACCACGTCCTGAATCAGGGGTGACACAAAGCCTGCGTGCTGACTGACGTGGACTCAGTGACCAGCGGGGTGGAGCGGAAGTGCCCCATAGAGGGTCTAGGTTAGAGAGCCCTGGTGGGGCAGCGCACGCTGTGCTGCCAACGGAAAGCGGAGCAGTTTGAATCCCCCAGTGACTCGTGAACAGGCAGCAGGCAGCTGGGTCCACACTTTCCTAAGTGCCAGTGCCGGGTCTGGTAAACAAAGCAAGGTCACCACCGCTGTGTGACCTCAGAGCAGTCAATGCACGGGGACGCGAAGGCCCTGCACAGGGCAGAGCCAGGGGAGGTGCTGCAGGAGGGCGCCCGGCTCTACCTGGTCATGGTGCTGACGGAGAAGTGGGACGGCGGCTGCATCTCGTGCATCAGGAGCTTCAGGTACACGCTGCTCTGGTCTCGGGCCACAGCCACCACTGGGTCGGCCTGTCCTTGGTCACACTTGTAAAAAAGCTTGGGGACAAGCCTATCAGAAAAAGGAGTAGTAAGAAAGCTCATGAAACTCATCTTCCAGTCCTTGCCAAGGGCGCTAGCCTACAACCCACAACACACAGACGACACTTGTCTCAGCCGTGGCTGATGACGCC